TTTTTAACCCCCCCCCCCCCCCACACATAATATGATGTGTCGCCCTATTTGAGCTCCCCTAAACAATTCCTAAACCCAAAATCTACATTGGAGACAGCCATTCCAAACACAAATTCCATTTCCAAAACCCGATAAAGCAAATAGATAGATTTTCTCAAAAACCCAGTAATCCAGACTGGAAAACATTGATTTTTACATACAAAATTGCCCATATAAATACACGAGATTGTGTGTAATTTTTTTTTTCTTTTCTTGAGAAAAAAGGTAAAAATAAAGCAATTGTCGAACCAAAACTCTGCAATCCACAAAAAACATTAGTTGAACACTTCTTTTACATCCTTAAATTGTTTTTTTTTTTTTCTGATTTCTTCCTCTTGTTAGGGGAGCACTGCTTGGTTTTTAGATAAAGAAAACCTTGCTGACCGCGGGCAGTTCCATTCCACCCCCTTAATTCGGGCCAGGGCCCTTTCCAGTTTTTACTCTCAGGCAAAATACCTCGAGAAAACACACACACAAACACACACTCTGCCTGCACTTTATTCTCTTCAAAATTCGATACTTTGCCCTGTACTCAGAACGAGGTTTTGAGAAGAGAACACTTTCTTTTTCCCTTAAAACAAATGGCCATATTTCTACATTATGTCTACTGGTGAATTGATAATCCATTCTGCATTGTCCTGTTTCTGTATAGAATCTAATAGTCTTCTTTGTTACTTTTTCACATAGCAAAATTTCCAACTTTTCTTTTGTGGATTTTTCTTGATTCTTAAAATCCAGAAATCAGAATGCCAAAAAACTTTAATTTACTTCCATTTCTCTGGTGTCTTCTCTTCATTAGTTGAAATACCCAGAAGGGATTTCCCCTTTTTCTTTTCAATTCCTGAGAGATATCAAGAAATTTTATTGGTAGTTGTTTATATATGAATTAGTGAAACAATGAGAAATGAGAGCTCCAAGAGAAGCAAGGTGTGTTTAAAAAAAAAAAAAAATGCAAGCGCACTAATTAATTTTCTTGCTTTTAAGATTTCCAATTTTTTGTGTTTGTTGACTCAGCTTTCTTGGCCTAAAACACTGGTGAAGAAATGGTTCAATGTCAAGAGCAAGGCTGAGGATTTTCATGCTGATGACATCATTTATGGAAGTAATTAATGTTATCTCAATCACCTCTTTAAATGATATATCTAATTTTCCCTTCTGAAAAAAAAAAACTGAATCTTTTGCTTCTGTAGTCATTATTAGAATTTAGAATAAAATGAAGATTAAGCAATTATTATCGCCCTTTTTGCTTAATCTGGATCAATTTTTTTCTTCTCTTGTACTGAAAGCAGGATAATAACGAGTCTGCCATTTTTAATGTGCTGAGATCTCTCTGTTTTTATTATTCCTCTCAAGATTTTCAATTTTATAAGTATACTAACTTATGTTATTGTTTTTCTCCAAAGGTGGGTTTTCTGTTGTAAACAGTGAGGGTACAGCTTTAATAACTTTAAATTTTTGCCTTTTCAGGTGTTAATGAAGAATGGAGGAACAATTTCTCAGAGAGGGAGGCATGCACTATCAAGAAAAGTATAGCAGGTTATCTTTTGGACCACACAATATTATTAGCCATTATTCCCAATACAAACTTGAAAAATGAAAAAAACTTTTAAATTTTTTCCTGATTTTATAAATTTTTCTAATGCTAGTTCTTTTTCGGCTATTGAATTGATAGAGAAATCGGGTAAACGGATTTCTGATCGTGTCCAACGAAGTAAGATTGACCTTGATGCCTCCCAAATCACAGATGTGAACAACTACAAGTGTGTTCTTCTAGCCTCTTGTTATATCGCTAATTCTATTTTCTCACAGTGTAATAGGGGTTTTTTACCATATATTTTTGTAATTCATATTGAAATAGGATCTTTGTGGCAACATGGAATGTGGCTGGAAAATCTCCACCCAATTATTTGAATCTTGAAGAGTGGCTACACAACTCACCTCCTGCTGATCTTTATGTTCTTGGGTGATTAACTTTGTCGTTGACTACATTAACATATCTTTTCCTTTTTGTTGATTGTAGGGTAAACATATGATTAATGGAAGTCTCTTTTTAATTTTTATTATCACTTTTAGGTTTCAAGAAATTGTTCCTTTAAATGCTGGTAATGTCTTGGGAACCGAAGATAATGGTCCAGCTAGAAAATGGTTAGCACTTATTAGGAAAACCCTAAACAGTCTTCCAGGCAACTTTGGTGGCTATCGTACACCTTCACCAGTTCCAGATCCAATTGTTGAACTAGACGCTGACTTTGAAGGAACAAATAGAGAAAAAGCTTCCTCTTTCTTTCAACGTCCTTCATTCCAATCATTGAGCCGTAGTATGAGAATGTTGGATTGTGACGTGTCAATGCCACAGCCTAGACTAGATCGTCGATTTAGTGTTTGCGATAGTCGATATAGTGTTTGCGATAGGGTAATATTTGGAGATAGACTGACTGACTATGATCCCAATGTGGGATGGGCTGGTTCATCTGATGATGAAAATGGGCTGGATGATTCACATTATATCACGCAGTACTCAACAAATTTGTACGGTGGTTCTGTCCCGATGGAGGAAGGGGACAGACAACCCGGGCAGTCTAGGTATTGTTTGGTTGCGAGTAAGCAGATGGTTGGGATTTTTCTGACGGTATGGATAAAGAGTGATCTGAGAGATGCTGTTCGAAATCTAAAGGTTTCTTGTGTTGGCAGAGGATTGATGGGTTATCTTGGAAATAAGGTATGCATCCAAACCGTGTAATTTGAAAACATACCCTCCATGGCTAAGCCAATGCAAAAATCTTATTGTATTAACTTTTCCAGGGTTCAATTTCAATTAGCATGTCTTTGCATCAAACGAGCTTCTGCTTCATCTGTAGTCATCTAACCTCTGGAGAGAAGGATGGCGACGAGTTGAGGAGGAATTCCGATGTTATGGAAATTTTGAGGAAAACAAGGTTTCCACAAGTTCATGGAACAGGGGATCAGAACTCCCCCCAAACAATCCTTGAGCATGAGTAAGTTCCTCATCCTTAACTTTTCGTGCTTGTTCAATATTTTGTTTGGCCTTTGTGTATGCTATGTCAGTGTGTTTCACATTTTTGCAATATGAGGAAGAGCCCTTTCTGTAGAAAAAATAATTTATATGGTGGCTTTAGAAGAATGAAGTTCAAAGCTTAAATCATATTTGTGTTTTCTTCTAGTCGAATTATATGGCTTGGGGACTTGAATTATCGAATAGCCCTCTCTTATCGATGTGCAAAAGCTCTCGTGGAGAAGCGTAATTGGAGAGCTTTGTTAGAAAATGACCAGGCAAGTAAACGATATTCCCTTAAGGAGCTTCGATTTTTCTTTCTTCTTCTTCTTCTTCTTTTTTTTTTTTTTTTTTTGGTTTTTTTTTGGGATCGGTGTAAGGCGCTTCGATCTTATTTTCATAGTATGTGGATTTTGACAAGTATATGGATTACTCAATTGACACTGTAGATCATTTTCTCAACAGCTTCGGATAGAGCAGATAGAGGGACGTGTTTTTGCTGGGTGGAATGAAGGAAGAATATACTTCCCACCAACATACAAGTATTCAAATAATTCCGACAGATACGCTGGGGAGAATATGCACCCAAAAGAGAAACGAAGGACACCTGCATGGTAATACTTCGTTTTGGAAAAAATACAGGCAAACATAACAAACATGCACTTTCTGTCTTTAGTGAATTTCTTTGTGATACACCACTGATATTGTGTTTTCATGGATAAAGGTGTGATCGGATATTGTGGCATGGTCGAGGTCTTCATCAACTATCGTATGTCCGAGGAGAGTCTAGGTTCTCAGATCATAGACCAGTTTACGGTATATTTTTGGCTGAAGTTGAGTCTATTAACCGTAGCCGATTCAAGAAAAGCACGAGTTATTCCAGCTCTAGGATTGAGGTTGAAGAGTTGCTTCCTTACTCGTGTGGATACGATGAACTAAATTTCTACTGAGAATGTATCCGCAATTGAGGACTTAAATGTTGGACCTTATCAACAAACACGAGAAAAGGGACTGCTGAGCAAGTTAGTTTTCTCGTACAGATTGCACAACTCAAATTGCATCTGTATCATAAACACACACACACAGAAAGAGAGAAAAAACAGAATCTTTACAGCTTTTACTTACTGATTCGTGCATGTTTTATACAGACAGGACATAACAAGGGTTGGTCATTGGCATGAACAGCTTTGTATTTGGTTCAATCAGAGTGATCCTCCAATAACTCAGGCAATTTACAATTTCTATTGTCTCAATTTTTCGCCATTTTTATCCTGCTATAGTTGTACAGTGATTGATATCTCTATCCATTTGCAATTTTTTTTTCTTTCATTTGGAAGTTGATCTGAGAATTTTACGATGTTTCTATATTTGCAGATGAGCCACAAACATGATGCCTTATGTGTGACAAAGACATTGATTTTGTACATTTTGATGGACGGTTAGTAATCATCTCCCGTTTTTTTTTTTTTTTTTTTTTCCTTGTTTTTTTTTTCGTTTTTTCAGTTTTTAAACTTTTTTTTTTTTCTGATTTTTAGGAAATAAAAAGACCAAAAATAGTAGAGTAACAGATGGCTGTGGTTGATTTCAATAAAATGCTTGTACGTGATTTCATCATAAGACAGCCTTATGTGTGACAAAGACATTGATTTTGTACATTTTGATGGACGGTTAGTAATCATCCCCCTTTTTTTTTTTTTTTTTTTTCCCTGGTATTTTTTTACGTCTTATCAGATTCTAAACTTTGTAAATAGTCGCAATCAACATTGAACTTCACTCATTTCTTTTGTCACCATCTTTTCACCCTGCACGTTATAAATTTGGCATCAAGAACCAGAATTTTAAGATCACTCCGAATAGTTAGGCAAGAAATTTTATTGCTCGTTTTTCCATTACACCCGTTTATAAATACCAAAACACGAACGGTATAATAACAATAATTTACTTCATAATTTTGCAGGATGCCTTTGTAGGATGAGAAGAACAAATAACTTGGTTCAATACACTCGAGGACTTTGCTTTTTACGAATTATGATGTTCTCTCGTGATTCCCTTGCGACAGGGAAGAATCGGGACGTGGGCAGATGTGCATTTCAAGTTGCTAATGAATAAAGGAAAAGTTAAAAACCATACTATAATATCAAGATTCCTGTCCTGTAGCAATCGATGAATAAATACTGAAAAGTTGAGCATTTTACTGAAAAGATAAAGGCATTTCTTTGATGGTCACTGTTATTTCATTCGCCTTTTTTCTGTGTGGTGTGCAAATTCTGTAAATTTTGGCAGTCTATTGCAACTATTTGCGTTTGCCTAATGGAGGGGACGCAGTCACGAAAGCGTGGAACTGGAAAAAGTATGAAATGTGAATTACAACAGCCAAATATGCAATCTCTTGTAATTATTGTATGAAGTCCAAATTACATTCCATTACCTTTAACTTAAGCCATGTTTACTGGCCAATCTACACGCTTTAGAAAATATGATATGTACGATCAAAGCACCTATTTGACAATCATTATTTGAAAATTTTCTTTCTACGTATTCATTTTTAATTGTATATTCGTACAATTAAATATTTGCACATAAATCTAAAATATTTTCCTACTTTTTAGTCGTACATTCTCCTAAAAATTATTATTAAAAACATTGGTTTTTATTATTTTTTTTCTCTCCAAAAACTAATCATCAAACGGGGGCTAAGTCTGGATCAAACTGTACTGAACAATATTTAGAAAAAAAAAAAAAAGTTAAGATTTCATCAATCATAATGTTTCATATGTTGGTATGATCCAGTATGATTGTACATTATAGCATGTTTGGGAGTTTGCCTATAAACTGTTTAAAGTATAAATGTTAGATATGGGTGATGTATGGGTGTGTAGTATTTGTGAATTTCACGAAATATGTTGATAAAAAGGTGATTTAAATGATTATAACAATAGCCAAACATGTTAAATTAAGTGTCTTGCAATGTACTCTTACATATTATGACTAAATGATAAATCATCTCATCCAAATTTTGAGTATTTTGTGATCCACGTATGGTTCCGTTTGGTATAAGTCAAAATTTTAATTTAAATTAAAATTAATAATTAATTTTAATTACGTACTTATGGAGCTCACAACTTTTTAATTACAATAAACTTGTTAATACGTAGAATAAATAAAATGGTAAGTAGAATTTTATAGAAAAGAAAAAGGGGTTTTGGCTGTACAAATATCAAAACCCAATAAAATGGGTAGTAGGAATAGAGTGATGTGGTGACATTTGTCACAATGAAAATGGAAAATACAAAAGAAAATGTTTAAGATGTTTCCAAATTCCAAGTTTTAGGCGAATCCGACAAAGCCTACTTGGAAGTGACATTTGTAATTATTACTTTTTTTCCTTTTTTTTTTCATTGGAAATTGCGAATTCTTATGCTTCTCCTGCCTTCAAACTTCTGGTTGGTTGGTTGATGTCCAACTTCAACGTGGTATAAATAACAAAAGTTTTAAAAATCTGTTAAATGTAATTGAAGTCCAACAAATAATGAAATAATAATAATTTTTTTTTAGTTGAATCGATCGGTTCTTCATTAATTTTAATTATTTTTACATTTTAAATTGATTATTTTAATAGTCAAATTGGTCGATTCAATTTGATCTTTATATCAATGACAACATAGAAAAATATATATATATATATAGCGTGTAAAAAAGTGGGTTGAAGACAATATATATAAATATAGTTACTTTTTATATTTTAATTAAAGAGTTTAAATAATTCAATGAATAAAATTGTAAATCTAATTCAAAGTTCCATTCTGACTTGTTTTAAGGTAACACTTTTATTTTATTATTATTAAAGATGGGAGACACAGATCCAAGTGGGGATGGTGAGTTGTACCTTGGTTTCCAATTTTTGGACAACACCATTGCTGTTTAATTAATTCCATTAAAAGCTATCCTATCCTCATACTGTAATGTTTCTTTTGGATCAATTCACAAGTGTCAACTGTCAAATGAGATCCCTTAACCACACCAATATTCTTTAATTTTATTTGTACATTTACTCGACAAATTTAGCTTCGAATTTGGTAATGAGTAATGCAATAAAACAATTCGGGTATTACTAATCAATCAGTATTACTAGTAAAGCATATTTCTCTTTCTGAGTTCATGGACAGAGTAGACTTCTTGTTCTTTCAATGTGTAACTAGTTTGTTCCGTAATTTTAGCATTTCGTTGATCCAAAGTAATCCATCTCCACCTTCTGCTCGACCAAATCTGTAACCTATATTAGCAAATTTATTTTCTATAGATTTCATCGATTAGATAAAAGTTTTCTATGAAACATGTATGACTTTGAATAAAGTGCCTTGAATAGAGTAAATAGAGTGTTGTGTCTTGTAGAAAAATTCAAGTAATATATTTAATATTATAGAAGATTTCGAATAATAACATTATATATATACACCAATGACAAATTGGTAACAGCCAATCTTTCATCCAACCACCTGAAATATTAGAGGCTTTATCATAATATGTTTTAGACAGTGAGTCGAATAGTACTAAACATTATGAGAACAAAACAATGCTAAAAACAAAAATAATATTTAGTACTACATATCAAACGTGTCTTTCGAATTGTTTCACCACTAACCATATAATATAAAAATCCCTTGTGATCTCTTCTCAGCTCCTCACATGCTCTGAGCGACATGGGTGCCTCATCAAGAGGATATCTAGCTGTTTACATAATAAATTGTAGAACTGATATTAATTAACACAAAATATATGTCAGAAGCATTATAAGAATATTGCATGTGGTTTTGTGATACCCACGTTACAGTCTGTGGGTTGAATTTTATTTTAATTTTTCCTTAACATGCTAAAAAAAAATCATGTTGTGAATCAAAGATTTAGACATTCTTTTAACCGTGTTTTATCATTTTGTTTCCATCTACGTCTTTTAAGACACATTTGTAATATTTGTCAATTTTTCAAATAAAGTAGTCTACCATTTAATAAATTTTCATTCATGTCCGTTAAACCTTTCGAGTTACAATAACAGTCACACAATAAATTTTGACACTCAAAAACTCCTAAATCCACCCCAAAATATTAATACTGAGTGATGCGACGAAGAATCCTCAAGTCTCAATTCACAAGATAATCCGTGATGATCTCAAACTTGGGATGATACGGAATAACACCATTTAGCACAAGTGGTGCTTCTGAATAATAATGAGGTCATAAAAGAAATTTCGTTCTTATAGTCGCAACTTAGCTTTTTCACCCTCCAAACACCCGAGTACACCTTTGAATATTACCAAGTTAAACAATAAAGGAATTCCGAAGTTTGACCCACAAGATAGTCAATGACTATCTCAAATTTAGGATGATACAAGATAAAGTTATATATCGTAAGGAGTGTTTATCATCGATCTATGTAATAATCAAGTAACTGTCACATTGTTGCATTCCAATTTCATTATACAATGTACTTGAATGTCACGGCAATATAAATTGATGCTAAATGTCACTTAGACCAAATAACATTACTCGATAACAAAATACCGAAGAAGCCTCTGGTCATGGAGAAACGAAGGAACCCAACCGTTCAAAACCCTGAGCTGATCCTTCAACTGATCCACATAGCTTGATTGTGGATCCACTAATAATGCAGTGGCTTACATCAGCAGCATAAAAACATCATCATCAGTCACACACACACACCAATACTGTTACTTCAATCACAAGATGACCACGTGACGTCACAACTTTTGTTTTTATCTTGTTTGGATCAAGATTTCAGTAAGTACTTTTATCTACTTATAGCAAAAATAAGTAGTATCAGTACCACTATTGCATCAGTATTCAACTTCTAGATAGGATCTGCGCAATGCTAGAGATTTTACCTCATAAAGCTACTGCTACTCACCAAGAAACTTAAATGCTACAATTATTTGCACTTCCAAAATTCTCATTTCAAAATAAGTTTGTAAGTTCTAAAACCCGGGTTTTTGTTCCAATAATGGATTTTCTTATGGAACACATGAGCATCATTTTCGAGCCCTATATACTTGATGGAAAATGTAAGGATTAAGACTTTGGAATAGGGATCAAACACGCCCCAGTGTAATTTAATTTACTGAGCAATGATTAGTACAAAATGTACAGAAATGGGTATTATTTATGGAAGAATGATGTCACATTTTGCTTAGGTAAATCTGTATTTAAGAGTTACCTTTGCTTGTTAAACAAGTTGTGTCAGATGGACAGTGTCTCTCTCGCTCAGTCACTAGAAAAAATGAGTCAGGGATAGGCTGTGCTGCTGTAATGTACAAGTCAACAATGCAGAAATCATAAATGCAATTAGATTTGGTACTGTTGGCGTACAATAGGCGTCAACGCACTTAATTCACCCAGTAGTTACTTAAGCCTAGCAATATATTTTTTTTTTTTTAACTTATTCCTGGCTTTCAACTACTGTTTTAATCCTTGATGTACAATCCAACTTTGCTTCTCTTGGTCTGACCTGGATTTGTTGAAATATGTTATAACGTGACAAGCACTTCTTGTCTTAAAACGAATTTATAAAGGGAGTGTGTTTAACAAGTAAATTGTTGTAATATTATTATACCTCATTTCGAAATCGTTACATCTATAATATTTATTGATATTATTGCATGTGTAGAAGACATTACTCGTTTAATATGCGCTTGTTCGACAACCCTAGTGAATTCTACCAAGTATCAAAGATTAGTTGTTCCCCAAAATGGCTAGAAATCAATGTAGGCCTAGTTTTCCCATATTTGGGTGAATGAAATTTGGGAAAGGAAGATACGGATTGATTTCTTGGGCACCATTTGAATATTTTCACATAAATAGGATTCCACGTCCTTACATGATGAACAAAGATACGAAGTTTGCATGAGTGGTTGGTTTATTACCCTTATGGTAAATTGTGTGATATCATCCCTTTACGTGTGTTTTTGTTTGGCTCTACGAAGTATGTAAAATACTACAAAGAACAAAAAAGTGGTATATTCATAAGTTTTTCGACAGTAACATGTTTGGTACAAGATATTCCTTACATTTGGACAATATAATTGATAATACTCATGTTACATTTCTTCTTAATTACGATATTATATCTGTTTCGCACGGGATAGTCGCTAACAATTAAAAGGGATCAGACGATTGTGTAAGGGACAAACCTCTTGAGACAAAGTCCCAAAAAGGGGTGTTCTTTTATTGACGATGACTTTACAATTGAAAATTAAAAACAACGTGCCTCCAAGGGGCGCAAGCACACGAGTTATTGAA